ATATAGAAATTCAGCGCTGCCACAAAACTTACGCCTTTACGCTCAGAAGGAGTCTTTTGTTCAAGTGCAACATGATGAAATTAGTCACAAAGGAAACAAAGGCAGACTTCTGAAAATTCTATAAATTCAAAATTGCGTCGGTTAATTTTAAAGTCGAGACATTTGATTTAATGAGCTTGCGTGACAGTCAAAAAAATCACTTGAATTCGTCAGTCGTACTCTGCTCACAAAGTGCTTTACGATGTGACAATTAAATCCAGTAATTGATATGAATGGCCACTTGCAATCATATTTACTCAGATTCCTGATTAAATGATAGAGCGATGACTCATCACGATGGAGTCATAAAATGATAATCATAGATATTCACACTTTGACAACGGGTTTCGCATTATTCTGGCGTTGCGATTCCATTGCTGGGCAGTATGAAATGCGAAGTCAATTCGTTGATACAGAAGGACATCTGCAAATGAAGTAAATTGAAAATCTTAACCGCAGCCTGTGCGCTGAAGTATTCATATCACCTAGCCATCACAATTATACTGTTGCAAGAGATATATTGGTTTGATAACGGCATTGTACTTCACTCTCGGATAGTTATTCACTGATATATAACATGTTGTGCTGAATCACGCGATTGATGCAGCTGACCACCGTCCAGTTACATAGGTTCAATGCGGCGACTGCAGGACCAGGTGCTGACACGAACTAGGTATCTGCCCAAAACGCCCCATTCCGCTTTCCTCATATCAGCGGTTGCAATCAACAAAAAAAGGATAACTTACCTCTGCGAGGAAACTGCCATTAACCTAGTTTGCCTAAATGGATATCATTGATGCGAGAACCCAATTTTCAGGCGAACACATGGTTTTATATGCTCAAAGTTCAGCTGTTTCCCTCGAGCACTAAAATCTGACGTCAAGTATCATGCTTCAGCACCTCAGGCTAAAAACTGTCATGTTCCCACTATGCGGATCACATGGCCAATCGGCTCGTGAATTTCTTTGATCGCCTATGTGCTACTTCTCAAATGTGCATGTTTACTGCAAGATAAAAATCAGCCTTATTTCCGTGGATTCGTGCATCATTAGAACCGATTAGCTGGTGGCAAAATATAACTGCAGTCGCTTGTCGTTTGAGGTGACAAATGAACAACTACGGAAATCTTCATCAGACATTAAAAAATCATATTCGCGAACGTCTCAATTTATCATTTTGTTCAGCTTAGCCCACTGAAACATTTAAAAAGTCACCAAACCGGACCCGGCACAAATTCTGGCTGGTGACATTTAAATGGCCCAGCTTCGTGGTCTATCGCTTGGTTCGTTTCGACTGTAATTCAGCGTTTCTGAAATCACGATGAAATTATTTCTAGCCGTTCTCGTGATCTCTGTTTCACTGTGCCTCGGCCGAAGCTTGAACAAAAGTAAGTGACTTCAGGAAATGTTTTCATTATGAAAGCTCAGCTGTTCAACTTTAGACGAACAAATGCTCACAAGGTACAGACGGCAGTTTCCATTTGGTTTCGGTGCTCCGTTCGGTGAAGAGATCATAGAGATACAGCAACCATTGGGATATGGAGGATATGGAGGTTTTGGCGGATTTGGAGGATTTCGTCCCGGCTTCGGTCGCGAAGAGATCATCGAGCAGATATGGTGAAAATGCGGAACTGTTCGCGTTACTTAACGACTGGAAAAATTGACAATCCACTTTTTCATTAGAATTTTTACGTTTTGAATTCTGTACTTGGCACATAAATGGCTTAAACCTTGATGTTTCTTACATATGGCTAAATATAATTTCGTACATATATACATGTATAAGTTTGAAGCAAGGAACAGAGAATCCGATGCGAACTACTTTTCGACCTGCAACACTCATAGAGCCAATCAAATGTAGGCTGTTTAAACAAAAATATTCAATCTCGGATTTTACAAGTATTAGAAACTTGTTTTAATAATCTTCGACCATAGGCGTCCTGAAGCTTATCTAACTTACGTTTAGTTAGACACACTGGCATCAAATGATATCGTCCTTAAGTCTTGATAATCATTGCTTCTGCGGTACACCGATGTGCATAAGTTTCTCTCTTACTAGTGCCAGGGCATTTAAACAATTATACAATTTGACCATCTTGCAAACCACGAACAATTGTAATGATTTCTCAAGACAAATCGAAGTTAATAACCGTTCAGCCAGTTTCAATTATATGTATTGGAGAGAAGGTCAGTAAGATATATGGTGTCATGTAACAGTCGTCAAAAAGGAAAGCTGTTACCGGCGACGAATCGAGCTCAAACCATTCTAATAAAATAAGGCTGAAGTAGGGCTGAAGCTGTCGAAGATTTGATAAATCTTCCACAGGTGACGGTATCCATAATTTGATGAGAACAATGAAGCTTCTGTATGTTGTGAAAAGCACCTGAAATAATATCAATTTTGCCATTTGCCGAGGTATACCTCCCTATTAGTTAATCATGTGAGGCCTCAGCTATAAAACATTTAATTTGCATATCCACATGTTGAAGTCATCCATTGGTTCAGTAGTCAATTTAGTTAGGTTCTACATGATTTCATATCATCACCTTAACAGTTGGAACTTCCTCATACACCACAGGAAGAGGACATTTGCAAGATTTTGTTGTCAACCTCTTAATCAGGCTCATCAAACAAACTTCGTGACTTAATTTTGTCATCGATCGGCTGATATCCCTACAAACTGCTCCCAATTTTTCAAAACACATTCTCATATCTTACTGGTTCAGAGATGGGCTATTCATGGCTCATCCGACGACATATACTTTATTCTTTTTCGTCTATTCGTTCGCTTTACTCATTTTTGTTGCCTTTGTAAAATAGCCCTTTAATTAAAACCCGCCTTTCCATCAATCGGTTTCAACTTCGTCAGTCTCAGGCCCGGATGAGAAATGAGGAGAGTAGAGACTGTGACGAGGTCAAAGTAAAACTTAGCCACCTGCGCATCATGATACTGACGTAATCGAAGGCAGGCTACGAAAAGTGGGCGATCAGAACTTGTTCACTCCTTTCTGGAAACCGGGTATGTGGCAGCACGAAAACATCGGCAAAGCGACGCAAGACAAACAAATCAGCAACGAAGATGCTAGCCCTTCTGAAACGAGGAGGCAGATTGCGAGAGGCAATTAGAGCCTGCCAGAAAAGGCTCCACGAGAACGACACTTCCAGTGGGAGCTTACAAACAGAAATTGAAATATATGCTCACTCAGAGGGAAAGAACAAGAGTTAGTTAATGAGTCCATGGGGTACCAACTCAACATTGTTGGACTTTCTTAAAAAAACGCCAAGGCTATGTAATCCTAAACATCTGCGGGTAAAAACACTTCCACCAAGATGTCGATATCACGACGCACGCTCAGGAGGGTGCAGGTGTTCTGGTAGAACCCAAACTCGCAGATAGAATCTGTGACTGAGGCTACAACAGGCCAAAACGTTAACCTTGTTACAGGTCTATGCGCTTTATTTAGAGGGAGAATATCAGTCCTTCCTTGAGGCAGATAAAGGTGTTCTCTGGAAATGCAATCTACCGAATCCATTATTTTGGCTGGCGATTTCAACGTCCATTTAGGAGCAGACACGTAAATTAACGGCTCTAGTGACCTC